GCCTCTGATGGGCAGCTGAACCCCCTTTCCCTCTGGGGCTGCCTCTGGTAAGCAGCCAAAACCCATTTCCTCTCCTGCTCCCCGGCCTTTGGGTTCCCAGCCAGTGGCCCTCTAAGAAAATTAGCATTCAGAAAGTACCCCAACTCCAACCCTCCCCCCAGAAAGGAAGCAGAATAGTGGAAGTTGGAGCAGCAGAAGTGTGTGTGTGTGTGTGTGTGTGAGAGAGAGAGCGAGAGAGAGAGGGAGAGAGAGAAAGGAGAGAGAGACTTTGTTTTGGTGACAGGGCCTTGTTCTGTAGCCCAGGTTGGCCTGGAACTCACCATATAGCCCAGAATAGCCTAAAATTCATTGCAATCCTCTTGCCTCAGCCTCCTACACCCTGCCCAGTGCGATTTTCTAGTCTTGAATGGAGAACTAAGATTACAAAGTGGTCAGGGGCCACCAGGGTTGGGGGTGGGGAGAGCAGCTCTCTAGCCAGACTTCCCCAGCTGGCTTAGGATCACAAGAAGAGCCCCGTGTTCTTGGATCCACATACTCAGGCCTGGAACCCAGCAGGGCCCCTTCTGGTCCACATATCCTGAGTGTTCTGACCTAGAGCACTGTTGTGGAGGGGGTTCATCAAATGGCTCCTGAGAGGGTTGTCCTAGATTGGATCTGGCTGAGGCTGCCGCTAGATCCCCATGTGACCTTGAATGTAACTGAAGTGGGGGAGACTTTCTGCATGGAAACAGAGCCCGGGTCCCTGAACAATCCATACTTGAGATTCACCAGGCACTGACCCCGTCTGACCACTGGAGACAGCTAGACTCACCAGGCCCCATAGCTGACCACTACAGGGGCATAGTTCAAAGTTGCTTGGGAATTGCTTACTTGTTCATTCCTTAGAAAGGGCCTTCAGGGCAAGAAGGTTTCCAGTTGGGCAGCAAAAGAGTGCAGCTGGCATGGAGGGCTGGGAAGGGGTGACCAAAGCTTTGCTCGCCAGAGTCCCACCAGCCATGCAAGCGTAAGGCTGGCAGAAAGCACAATATTTGCTTCCTCTGGAGGAAGGGAGCCACAGGAGGCAGGGCCAGGGTCATGCAGCTTGGCCTGGACGAGCCTTCTTCCTCCACGTCACTTGAGAGAAAGCCTGGCGCTTAGACTCATCGTGATGCCTTCCCTGAATTCAAATTCCAGCTCTGCCCCTTACTTGCTGTGTGGCCGTGGGGTGGCTTATTCACACCCTCTCTGTGCCTCCATCTCTTATGGATGAGAGGGGTTGTATGAGCCCTCCTGAGACTAGGGTCCTCTCAGACAGTACAGATGCCCTGCGTCGGATCCCACGATGCCCACGTAATCTTGGGGGTCCCCACCAGCTTCCTCTTCCTAGGCCACTCTTACCCAGCCTTTCCTCAGCTATGTGGGTCCTCGGGGCATCTCCTGAGGGGTCTGGAGTTCCAGACCCCCACCCCCAAGCCTCTTTTTGAGACAGGGTTTCTCTGTGTATCTCTGGCTGTCCTGGAACTAGCTCTGTAGACCAGGCTGGCTTCGAAGTCCCAGGGAGATCTGCCTGCCTCTCCCTCCCGGGATTAAAGACATGCACCACCACCGCAGGGATGCCAGGCCACTCTTAGCCATCTTCCCTTGCCCGTCTGGGCCCTTGGGGGAACGGCTGAGAAGTCTGGAGTTCCCATTCCTCTGGGGTTGTGATGTCTTTCTCACCCCGTCCCTGGCTCTCTCCTCAGGTGGCAGTGCCAAGGGGTCAGAGAATCCATTTGTCTATGGTAAGCCAGTCCTCCCCTGCCTACCCCGTCCATTGGCTCCCAGCCCTGGGTCCCTGCTCTCCGCGCCACGGAGTTGCTGGTGGGTGGACTTGGGTGGACTCTGAGGGGCCGTGCCCACACCACGGCGCATGTCTCCTCTCTCCCAAGACTACGAGACCGTCCGCAAAGGGGGCCTGATCTTCGCGGGCCTAGCCTTCGTCGTGGGGCTCCTCATCCTCCTCAGTAAGTGGAGACTGACTGGCGGGACATTTCCCAAAGTCATACAGTAAAGACACTTGCCAGGTCCCCAACCACGCTCCAGTCCGGGGAGGAATACAAGAGGCAGGTGCAGCGGACAGCAGGCTCCCGCGTCCGTCAGGGTGCCCCCTGGTGGCCATGGGAGGGAAAGCTGAAAGGGGAGTCTGGCTGGACATCTGTCGGGGAGGGAGGAGGCGGCCCATCTAGACGCAACCTCCTAGCCCCCCTACCCCTTACGCAGTCGTAGTCTCAGCACACTGAGGGACAACACCTCTACCCCAACTGTCAGCGTTTGAGACGGACAATGAGACTTGTGGCAGCTACCCCCCAACTCGGTACATCTGACATCCAGCCCTCCACACATTGCTGGAAACCAGCCAGGCTGGGAGCCAGGCCCTGGGGTTACCACTGATTTGTCCTAACTCTTGGCCACGGAAGGAGGCTCCATCTTCTCTCTGTTCAATGGGGACAATCCCATCAGTTTTGTAAGATTGGAGCTAGCATCCTAAGATAACCGTAGGGGTGGAGGGGTCTTGGGTAGCCAGGAAGGGTTCTAGGGGGAGGAAAATGACCTGACCTGTGTTTGAGCTCTGGCAGGTGCAACAGCAGGTGCTTAATAAATGTGTGTTGCCTTATTTTGTTGCAACCAAAAGAAAAATACCAGGACCACAGTCAGAAAGACACTTGGTGAAGCAAAGAGGTTCCTGTATTCTGTAATCCCCACACGCTCTGGGTCCTCCCACTCTACTTGAAAGCTGGGCTCCTGGGAGATCTGCCGTGAGTGTGTGTGTGTGTGTGTGTGTGTGTGTGTGTGTGTGTGTGTATGGGGGGGTCCTTGGAGATTATGAACCTAGGCAGGGATCTGAACCTCCAAGTGTGTACCGAGCAGCCCTGCTGTGCCCAGCACTGCTGGTGGCATCATGAACTCTGGTCCCAGCTGCCACTTTGAACACATTCACAGTCCATCACAGACCCGGTGCAGTGAACGTTTGTTGATTGACTAATTGACTGGTAGTCCAGCCTTATATAAATAGAGAAACAGTTAGACATATTCTCCGAGCCCCATGCTTTGATGCTGCTGGAGGAGGCGGGCAAGCCTGGCAGAACTGAGTGTTCCAGGGTCTCTTTGGGAAATGGCAGCAAACTTTACCATCTCTTTTCAAGGCAAAAGGTTCCGCTGTGGGGGCACCAAGAAGCACAGGTGAGTGTTGTGGGGGGGGAAGACTCACAAGGTGGGTGGGGCAGAGAGGAGGGTGAGACACTTCCCTGATGGGGAGGAGTGGGCCTTCAGTCTGGGAGACCACAGACTTTTCCCTCCCCCTGCCTTCATCCTGTTTATTCTTCCCCACCCCAGGCAGGTCAATGAAGACGAGCTTTGATGATAGGTATGTTCCCTTTAAGGGGAGTGAGGGTTTGGGTAGAGCGTGCATGTGAATGAGGGACCAGTTGAGAGAAATTGGGGGTGGGTGGGCAGTCAGGTGGGCCGTCCCTGTTAATGAAGTGAGGACTGAGGGTCTAAAGTTGGGTGTGTGTAGTACAGGTGCTGCAGAGGGAATAATAATTGAGAATAATAAGAATAATGAGAGGGACAGGAACAAAACTGGGGACCACAGGAGCCTCTCTCCCAACTCAATCTCTGCCTTTGTCTTTCCAGAGCCGGCCGTGCCCACCAGCCCATGGGCACCAGTGATGACCACTGTCCCCAGATGAACATCACTCTCCCTGTCACAGCTATCGGGCTGAAGGAAATGCCAGGCTCACCTCGACCCCCTCACGGTCCTCCACCCATGCCCCTTGACCCCTAACTTCCTCCCTCCCCTCCTCCAACCTCTCAACACCCCACTTCCTATTCCAAGTTGAGGTACATGTACAGCCTCACCTCTGGTTTTCAATGAATCACTCTTCAAGCCCATGCCAACGAAAGCAGGCTCGCTGTGGTCATCTATGGGCCCTTCATCATTCACCCCTGAACTGTTGCCCCCAGGACAAAGACCTCTCCCCCTGACTTCTGGGCGCCAAAGTCTGAAGGTGTCAAGATGAAAGTGGCCGAGTCGGTTGGATCCTGCTGGCTTCTGCTGCCGCTGGTGAAGCCTTGTGCTCCCGTGCAGAGCTTGCTTCTTGGCCAACCTGGTGGCAGCTGTCTGTGGCCACACTCATGGGCTCTATGGTTTCCCTAGGAACACAACGGGTGGTCTCAAAGTCCTGGTGTTGGGCCTCAGCTCAGGCTGCCAACCTACCCAGCCTAGCCTCGGGTGGGTTTGGTCCAGGGGACTCCAGCTGGGCCCACTTCTACCCATCTCTTTGGGTGTTGGCTTGCTCCATCAGGAATGAACTGTAAGTGTGGGCCTGCTGCTACTGCTTGCTTCAGGCCCATCCATCAGGGCAGAGACCTGCAAAGAAGTCCAACTCCCTCTCCCTCCAATCCCATGAAATCTCCAAGGAGACTGGGGGGCTGGCGGGATGCTGGCACCATCTGGCAGCTGGCTTCCTTATCTACATCTCAGAGTATCTAGGCAGAGCCCTGGGTGATGTCGTTTGACTGTGTTAGGGTGGACTGTGCAGTCAGGGTGAACAGACCAGTACACTTGGTGCTTAAGCCTTCTGTTCTAACCCACTGCCCCAGGTTCTGAAGGGCCCCCTACCCCCAGGTAATCACAGACAGTCCTTTGAGAGACCGCTTCCATTGTATAGAAGGGATGCTGGCTCCCCCCTCCCCCGCCCTGAGAAAGGTAGTGACTTGCATAGACAGGGTGGCACCCTGACTGCCTTCTTCTCTGAGGGCTAAGAGGTGAGAGGAGCCTGAGGCCAGCAGGCACACAGGTAAAGTCTGGGTGCTAGGCTCAGCATCATACCCTTAAGTAGAACTCAGTGCTGCTATGCTCGAGCTCCCCCTAGTGGGTGGGAGGAATGAGCAGAGGTGGAGCGGATCTGGACAGGGTTAGGGCTGGGGAGGAGGCAAACTCCTCAGAGTTTCCGGATGCCAGAGCAAGGTAAACAGACCGAGGTAGTCAAGGTCTGTGGGTCACTAGAGAGAGAGGCGGGAGCCCTGAAAAGGAGTTACCTTTCTAGAATGTTCTCTAGAATGTTCTACACACCAGCCCATCACTTAAGTGGTCTTGGGTGAGTCACTTCTTCCTCAGCCTGCCACCAGGTCTCCTGCTCTGTTCTTTGGTGACCAGACTGGCCCATTTGAGGTGGACCTTGGGGTCCAAACACAGCCGTCCTTGAACAGGGATAGCTAGGCACAAGCATGAGATTACTGGTGAGCCCATCTTCATGCCCTCTGCCACCTTTACCCAGGCTGAGACTCAGTGAGCCTGCCCGGGGCTGAGGACCACTGCTCCAGGGGACCTTCTGATTCTGTGACCTGCTCCCGGGCCAGGATGTCTCCTTTCACTATCCAGCAGGTTCACATGTTGAGGGTTACTGAACATGAACATGGCCTTCACTCTGAGGTTTTCCACATATCAGAGCTGTCCTGAATTGGAGAATACAAACCAAGTCTTGAAAGTGACTGTCGCCTCCCCTCACTGACACAAAGCTTGGAGACCTTCCTGTCTTAGGGCGCAATTCCTTCTCCAACCACCAGAGGGAGCCCATGATTTACTCAGAGTCACCTGCAAGTGCAACTGATTTCCTGGGAAAGCTCTGGGCTGGCTCCTCCTTTCCAGGAAACTTCAGATCCCAAGCTTGAGTTATCATCACGATCCTATCCCCACGGGCAGATTTTTCCTTCCAAACTCACAATCACCCACGTGTGCAGCACCGAGGGTAAGAGCAATGAGCCCATCTTGGGCTGGGTGGCCTGGGTGGGGCCCTGTTCTAACCCTGTCTGGACTGGGCTTGCCTTTCGGAAGCTGGGGCAGGGGCTGGTTTATCTGGAGTGTGAGGACTCCTTGCACGGGCTTCCGGTTTTTCTACAGAGCTCTGGCTCTTTGGGGGAGCGCCTCCTCTCACCTTAGCAGTTCTGGCTTTTCTTGGTTCAGTAAGGAAGAGGGTGCCCCAAAAGATTTGCTTTGAATAGTTCTGCTGGCCCTACCCACAACAAAAGGTCTCTTAAAACAGAGGTGGATCCTAGGGCAGAGGGACAACTGAGTCTCCCCTCCTCCAATACGTTGCTCAGGGATGGAGTGCGGCTCCTGGGAAAATGAATCACCTCCCTGCAGATGTGCTCCCCCAGGTGGTCAGGCTCTGAACTGCAGTTGGATGGCGGCAATCCAAACACCGTGAGCATATTCGTCATGGGTGGCCGGACAGATGCTCTGCCTGTTGAATGCCATGGCCGCTTAGCTCTGCTGTCCCAGTCAGGAAGATGGATCAGCTTGGGCCATAGTCACGGTTAGGAGGGAAGCATTGAGAAATGGACTGCAAGGAAGAGCTATGGGGCTGAGCGAGTGTCCCTTAGAAGATTCCCATTCTCAGGATACATAAGGCATCCTGGGTTGGGAATACTTTTGTGTTATTGAAACTGAATAGCTGAGGGACTGGGGGTAAAGGAACCTTAGTGTCCAGGGTTTCATTCAGACCCTGGAGGGGCAAGGGGGATGGCAGCAGGTCATTGGTTAGAGTGGAGAGGTCCGTATTATCATAGGTCTAACATCCGGGAGGCCCCGGGCCAGTGCCAGTCGTCAAGCCCCATTTGGCAGATTTGTTTCTCCAAGCTTGCTGGGCTGCCCAAGATGACCGACTGTGACCCTGTCCCATAATTCCTAGTGCCGTAGTCTGTCTTTACATCTTTAAACCTGGCTCTCTGTTTTGAGAACTCCTCACTGCTGCTTCCTGGAAGAGCCTCTGGGTGTTACTGGGAGGAATGCCCAGGTGAGCCAGAAGGGAGGGTGATGGAGGAGGGTGGGAAGTTCCCGGCCGGGCAGCAGCTGCGGCTCAGAACAGCTGTTGCAGGCCTGCTGGCCACAGACCATGTTCTGGGGATTGAACCTGGCCTTCCTAGCAGCTTTGTATCTAAGCCTGCTGTGTGACCTTGGAAAGGTCCTTGTCTGTCTGTGGTCTTGGCTTTGGGGAAACAAAACAGGAGACAAAAATTGTAAGTTTTGGTCTAAAAGTCAAAGGGAGCGCCTCTGAAGGGGAAATTGGAACTGAAGGGGATTCTCCAGCCCAGGGTAGTGAGTTGTTCTAGGTGCACACAGTCACATGTGCGCAGCAGGCTGATGGGTGAAGAAGGCGGCACAAAGTTACCTGGAGAAGCAGAGGAAGGAGCTAGTGCGGCAGCCCTCTCCCAGACCATGATGAGTTCTGTTTGTTCCCCAGGAAGGCCTGTCAATCAGTAACTGAGTGTGCACTCACACAGATCTCCCGGAACTCAGCGCCCTTGCTCTGCAGCAAATAACCTTTCAGGTCTCCCGTTGCCAAACCAAACATTCGCTATGACATTAATATAGTTATTCAGGAGAGGCCTGGATCCCCCAGACAGCCACTCAGGGGGTGTGAGCAGGAGTAGGGGGTGTGGAATGGGCCCCAGCTGTTCTGGCATCCTTCCTGATACCCTAATGACGTATCTTCTTGGGTCTGAACATTTCTTCACTGTGGACCCCTTTCAGATAGCAGATGAGCTATTCCGGGGTGGGAATGGCACCTGTAAGCTCACCCATGCTCCTTAGTGGCCCCCCCAGTTCCAGCAGAGGATGTACTCGATAAATGTTGGTCGAGTGACCACACTGGCTGCTCACACTGGATGGATGAGGAATGGCCACCGTATGGGGTGAGGGGGGTCGTGGGGGGACAGGGCCTGGGGCAGGGTTAGTGGTATGCAGGCTCTCTGGGGTGGGGGATCTGTAGACTGTTCCCAGTCTCAGCCTTCATTTCATCCTCTGGGTCTCGGGGTACTGGCTGGTTGTGTGTCACCTTGACACAAGCCAGAGTCATCAGAGAGGAAGGAGCCTCAGTTGAGGAAATGCCTCCATGAGACCCAGCTGTGAGGCATTTTCTCAATTGGTGATCAACGAGGGAGGGCTCAGCCCATTGTGCATGGTGCCATTCCTGGGCTCTATAAGAAAGCAGGCTGAGCACGCCAGGAGAAGCAAGCCAGTAAGCAGCAGCTCTCCATTGCGTCTGCATCAAGCCGTGCCTTCAGGATCCTGCCCTGTTTCAGTTCCTGTCCTGACTTCCTCCAGTAACGAACAGGAACATGGAAATATAAAACAATACTTTTCTCCACAGCTTGCTTTTTGGTCATGGTGTTTCATTGTAATAGAACACTGACAGACACCCGGGAACCAGCAAAACTCTTTGGAGCCCTGGGCTAGTGACTATATATAATAGACACTATGTCCAAGCTAACAGTCAAAGCTACCAGCTTTCCTGGACCCTTCCTCTTAATGATTTGAGAGAGTTCTGTCCAGCCATGACAGAGGCTAGGCCGCCCTCTGCTCAGGCCCCCTCTGCTTTGGGGGTGCTCTGCTTCTCCCCAGTTCCAATACAACTAGAATCATGCCCACCCCCTTCTTCACACAGAAGGAAACCTTTTCCCCACATCCTCCCTGGTCTCAGCATAGTAGGACCATAGACCACCTACTCCCTCCTCAAGGGAAGAAACTGAGAGCCCCCAGCTGAGGGGGCAGAGGGCCCAAGGGTGAAGAATCCCACACGTGGCCGATACCCCCTATACCTTAACTCACACGGGACTGGGAGGGGCTATGGGTGTTCCAGTCTGTTCCTGGGACCTGGCTCTCTTGAAAATGGGCCTGTAACTCTTTGCCATCCCTAGATATGGTATCCTGGCCACCATAGTGGACTTGGAGGGTTCCTGGACCTTCCTGTTTCTTTTCTCAATGTAGTTAATTTTCTTTATGAGCTTGTTTGTTAGTGGATCTGTTGAGAACCAGTGTTAGCTCTCACACTGTGACCCCAAGAACCCTGGTAATGCCATGGCAGAAATTAGGCCCATATACTCCAGGGAGTGTGTTGGT